TTCCTAACAATATCGAACGAGATGCAGTAACTGTAGTTCCATGATCTTGAATATCGACCCTTCCGCTATTGACCTTGTTTTGGAACGCCAGGGTATTATTCAAATTGACTTACAGAACGAAGACCCCTGTATTGATGATGATAGCACTGATGATAATATGCCATCCCAACGGTCACAAAGTCAGGATCGATCTGCTGGTGAGGTTCCACTAGACCCACCGGATATTCTTATCCCGTTTACGTATCAGAATCGCTGACTTTCAAACAATGATTTAGAGGACGTGATGATTCGACAAACCCAGATGGCCAACTATTGGCCCAACCCCGATCCTCCACCGATGTACTCGCCACGTGAACATACATCGAAGGACACTATGCAGTACCGTACGCTCCTCAATGGGGTGTTATTGGCTGCAAGGAGAGCTACATTTCCCGCGAGTGGACCGTTCAACATGAGCGAACTGAACGAAGCACTGTCGGGACAACAAATGTTCCAACGATACGATGGCTTCGATGGTATTGACATTACGGATGCGTTCCGCTCAGACAGCCAGCTCGAAAGAGACAAGAAAATTGGCGCCGCAGGAGAGCTATATGTATGTGGCCTTTCAGTAATGTTCTTTTAGGGTACAATTTAGCGTGTGACTAATTTTCTTGCAGGTTTTCGAATTATTTACACGGCTGGATCCAGCTCTAACGGGCTGGAGTGAGCAGAACTGGCAAAGTAAAATTCGTCGATATGTGACGGTCCACCCGGATTACTCCAATATGGAACCGTATTATGGGAGGGAGACCGCAGACATTACATATGATGATACTGAGGGCGGTTTCACGGCCCTGCTGATTGATCACGGGTACCTTGCGACGGAAGAATGGAGAGACAAGCGTCCGAAATATTACATTGAAGTCAAGACGACCACAGGGCCTTCGAGAACTCCATTCTACATGAGCAAACATCAGTATGAACGAGTGAGTGTTTTGACAACGATCACAAACATATACCCGCTAACCAAACCAAGATGCGGGCTGTGCACAACAGGAGGGACTATTCAGAGGTTTACATGATTCTACGTGTGTTTGATATAAGTGGAGATAGCATTGGAATGAGTGTCTATCTTGACCCGGAACAGTTCAGATTGGACGGAGGACTTGTATTTACTGGGGAGACCTGGTCCGTCATTCCTGGCTAACCAGGTCATATATCAGCAGAAAGGCTTTTGTATTGCAGTTGCAGGATTACAAGCGGCCTGGCATCGTCTTGCTAAACACACATTACCTGGTCTGGACAACACTATGAGAACATCTGTCCTATCAGCCTCGTCGGGCCTTGCACCGGATAGGAAGATCGGATCTTATCGGCCGCCTTGGAGGTAGCAATTTCTTAGATATTTTCTATGGAAGCATCTGGAGAAAGCCAAGTCTACGCAAAGCTGCGAATAAATAGAGTAGTCATACAGAATCACGATATTTTGACGACTTTCTAACAGGCTATCACCAACCATCCGACGAATTTCGAAAAATTTTCTCACCTGAAGCCGGCAACAGAGCTGCTTCTGTCGATGAGTCTCGGAAAGAACCGCTTGAAAGTTCAAATGAAGGCGCCTCTACCCGGAAACCACCGTACGTAATGTTGCCTATAAACATGACCAACAATCGGATTTGGAATTCACTGTGCTCCTCCGACCTTCGCCTACATTTACATAGACCGCAAGCTAAGTGTCATCGTCGCGGTATTGGGTCTCCTATCTGGAAATAGGATAAAGGTGGCTACTATGGTGCTGTTTTCCCTCAGCTACAGTGTATGGAGCCTTCTCTTTTCTTGTAGGAAAGAGACCTGGATGTCGAACTATTATGTAAATTTTCGGTTAAAGTGTAGCGCTTGGGATAGTACTATGTGTGGTCAGCGTCCCAGGGTATCAGCTTTTTTAATAGGAGCTTACAGTTCTTTCCCTGACACAGATTGAGGTTATATTATAGTGTACGTGGAACCTAGGCTGCGATACATCGACTCCTGGGCGTCAGAATTGGGCGGGGATGGAGAAACCAAAGTTTATTGCTCGTTTTATAGGCCTTAATTTATGAAGCTTTTTGCACATAAGTCTATATAGATTTCCTTCAGGAATTTCAATCACTGCACTACCACGTCGGCGCCAGAAATGCGCTTGTTGCACTCATTCTCCGGTAAGTGAAGTTCGGATAGAAGAGAAAGAAATTTTAGTTGCTAGATACCAGGAGAGATGCATAACTAATCATGGATCGTCATAAGATAGCTAGTTGGTAGATCGATGAGGTAGCCAGAGCGTAGGCAGATGACGCGAGAGGACTTCTCTTTGCTTTGGGTAGCAGTTGGCGGTCATGGGTCACTGAAGATAATGGTCCCATCACTTGTCTAGTTTGATATCCGAGATCTGACGCTCTAGGTAATAAGTCACAAAGCGTGCGAGCTCTATCTTACTGCCAAATTCACCTAATCCTCCTAGCCAGCACCCCTGGTCCCGTGTTCTTGCCTGTCGTACAAAGCACACAGGGTAATTAGAGTTGCGCTTACGCTAAGCGGCGGTGTCGGTACTTATGGACAGGAAGAATGATATGGCTTAAGTCGAAGACTGCGGAAAGCACGTTGGTATTATAAAGGAGAAAAGTAAGGCACAGTATCCGGCAGAAGAATAAGCTATTGTGGCAGGCTTAGAACAACAAAGAACCACCACCTTTTCGGCGTACATAGGCTTTTCAAGAGCTCCTTCTCGCTAAAATAAGAATACATTATACACAGAGATAGTCTGGGAATATAAGTCTATTGAAGCCATACCTAGTAAATCGGAAGAAAATGATAAAGTTTCCCAGGGTACATAGAGAAACTTATTTCCTATTTAACAGGTTGCCGATGCCTAGTACAAGTCTATAGCCAAAGCAAGTTAGAGCTGAGCTCCTAACTCTTGCTCCCGCAAGAGTTATCCAGGAAAGTGAACAATGTTCCCTTTCTGGCTTAGTCCCATCTCTTGATCGCTTGGTAACTTTCGGAATTTGAATATACAGCGATACTGTTTGACGAACAATACAATTATCAATGTTTTTTTCGTATCGTGAGCATGTTGGTTTCTCCTTCGGGTATTTGACTGTGGACGATGCAAAAGCGTAGCAACTGTCGCGCAGCTTCGATGTGTTAGAACTTGATTTACGGTGTGCTGGTGTCTGTGGGTGGGGTGTCCTTTGGACTTGTGTACCGGATATTGATTCCAGCATGGTACTTGATCCGGATCAGACTGCATCCGGGCGAAGCATATTTGTTAATATGGTACCTGATGGAGGCTCTGTGAAAATTACCTTGATGGCAAAATCCCTTGCCTCTCTGTTGCTCGTCAGCGGAAAAATCCCGATGCATTCGTGGCCTCAGGCAAACTTGTTATGGCTATTGCGTTGTCTTAGTGACGTCTATGTCTTTGTTAGGACAAATATGAGTGTATCAATGAGCCGAATCAATGTATATTGACAGGCTACTGAATACCAAACGAATAGAAACGAGAGTAATTAATAAAAGTCTATTCCTACGAAAATCGGGTACCTCAAGATATGAAAGGAAACTTAAGTCTTACCAATGATGTTGCACCGTCAATATCTGTGACTCGAGCATTAATTAGATCACGTACTCCAACTTTATTTATAATCCATATCAGATAAACTTAAAGTCAATTATATAGTTATACCACTGATAAGCTGGATTGATGATTTGGCTAGATAAATTTGCTTTCGTGTATATTGTGTCTGATAAGCAGGCTTTATTTTAAATCACTGCGGGGTATGCCTTGAATTCTATATAAATCTTATAAACCAACGGACACCGAACCACACAGCAGTTAGGCGTTAGATGTATTTGAGTGATACCCACCTATAGGCTTACCTGTATCAAACCTGCAGGTTGCAGACAGGGTATTAATCCTGTGAACAATATACTGCGATTGGTATAGTAAGCGAGCTGCACACCAAGGAAACTATTGCAACCCTAGATAAACCGAAGAACCCAATGACGCTTATATTTCGAATAATGAGTCCTTTTGTAAAAGATACCTACCACCCCACCTGAATACAACCATCGATGTAGAACAATGCCTGCAGATATCTAGCCCCCAACGCCATAGATAATACTTCCTACCTTAGTGTGGTTGCAGGTGTAGTTCTCGTTTCTTATCGCTGCTTACTTTCCCCCTGCTTAACGCCTTTCTGGATTGGTAGTTGGTATTCGGTACGGGTAAATCTCCCTCCCCCCGCAACAACGAGAAAGGAAAAGTAAAGATTGGATGGGAGTGTAGACCCTTTGAGCCTCGGGGGTTTACATCCTAGTTCCTGTAGACTTTACTGTTCTTCTTACTTTTAGTCTGGTTAATGTGGTTCTCCAGCTGGCCTCTAAAGACAAGTAGATGGATGCCAAAGGCTCGTAAGCATGACACAGCAAGGCAATAATCTGCGCTGCTATCAAGATATTAGCAGAGGCTTACAATAAAAGACTGAATATCTCTGTAACCTTATTTCCCTGGGCTTCAAAAACCATCGCGAGTATTAGGGTCCCTAGCCGGGCTTTAATGGTTCTTGCAGGGTAGGAAAACGTATTCTCTTTGCAAGAAAGCTACCACAGAACACCTAGATCCTCATCCCCTAAAACCATTTACTGTCGAGAATTATATTAGTTGCATTTGGTGCAAATTTGGGTGGATTGGATGGTGGGTTTCCTCGATGCAAGGCAGTAGAACAGAATGAAAATTGGAAAGTAAAGGTTGAGTGTAGTTAAATATATCATGATCCTCGTCCTCCAACCTTGGGGCAGTCTCCTCTGCTGAACCTCCGTTCGCCATCCAAGCGGCAGGCCTCCTCTTTCCGTCGCTTCGCAATTCAATGCTATCCACGCTGCGAGGTCTCGCCCTTCTACCGCTGGAGCCCGCTTTCAGTTTATACGCCTCACCAGTCGGCTGCCTCCCACACCATGAAGAAAAAAAATTATAGCCGAATCTAGTGCTTATCGAACCCGCTTTCTTCTGCCGCCTTCAGAGCGATGTCAACGGCCTGACTAATCGGCATGTTAAGCGGTTGCCGTGCCCGGGAATAATTACGTCGGCATCGACTGATTTGAGCACTTTGAGAGCTGAAAGTGCTTCGGGAATCGAGTGGTTAAAGAACCAAGGACATGGCTGTGGGCCCTTGATCGTCGAGCATGCATGACCGGTGACCAGGCAGTCGCCAGTAATCACAGTGCGCGCTGCCGGTACGTAGAAGGCGGTGTGCCCAGAAGTATGACCATGCGTGGCAATCGCAACCGGTCGACCCGGGACATCCAGTTGCCCAGAGGCAACCGGCTGTACGTCGGTGACGGTGATGTCGGTATCGGCACCCACTTTAAGCACCCGCTCCCACCAGTCGAGGGTCTGTGGCATTGGGCCTTTCATAATGTCGGCCTCAGCCGCTTGCTCAAGGTAGTAGCGGGCGGCATGACGGATCTCAATCGGGTCGGAGTAGATGGGCACATTCAGCCGGTCATGAAATGACTGCACCGCGCCAAGGTGGTCGATATGGGCGTGGGTCAATAGAATCGCGCGCACGTCCTCTGGTCGGTTACCAATCGACCTGATCACGTTCTCTATCATAGAGACATCGCCGGGCCATCCACCATCAATGAGGGTCAAGTCGGACCCCTCGCGGAGCACGGTGACGTTGACGTCTGTGACGCTAATGCAGAAGACGTTGGGAGCTACTTCGGTCATTTCGTACTTCCTTCTTGACAGCAAGGATAAAGCTGGTCCGAATTTGTGTATTAATGTCCGCAATATACTTGTTCCCTTAACAGAGATTGGTGGGTTAGGAAGCCATTTATCGTGACGTAATGTTTAATAGTTAACTAGTTGTCAATGTGGCGGTAGTTAATCTACACGTCATATATAAAATCATATAATCTGAATACAAGGAAGGCCAACAAAGGGTTTAGAAGACCTATTAAATCTTTCTAAAGGCATTTAATTGCAACAGGTTAACCTCCCTGTATTAGAACTACACATCCCGTATTTTCAACAGCAATATTTGCATACGTTTCGACATTAAATCGTAGCATCTCCCTACTTTTCCAGTTTCATTGCCATGGCTCTTAAGACGCTAGAGCTATTTAAAGATACCCTTGAGAAGTGGATATCAGCATTTTGCCAGCTCCATCTTCCAATGTTGGCAACTTGATTCATCACCATCATATTCTCCTTCCAGTTTGCGTTGACACCTTCAGTTAGCTTCCTCCCATAAAGCTGTCAGCTATTGCTAACGCTATCATCTGCCATTATTGCCGGCCCAACACGCGAGCTGCGCGTTGTAATCTAAGCGTTCTCCCAGCTGGTGGCGTTCTTATCCAGGTCGATGTTAAGTGTTTCGAGGAAGCGGGCTGTCATCATATAGTGCCCGACCAGCAAAGTCACTGTAGCCAGGCCCTGCTCTCCCAGATTGGCCAGGGCCAAGTCGAAGGTGTCCGTAGCTTTTGGCTTCGCGACGACTTCGTCCACGAACTGCAGCATTGCCGCTTCCTGGTCGGTGAGTTTGCCATATTCTCCCGATTTAACGGCGATAACCTCCTTGTCGCCGACATGTACTAATTTTGCTATATCGATGTGCTGCATCCACTCGTAGGGACTATGGGTAAGTACGCCGACCCGCAGAATAGTCATTTCACGAAGTTTTGGCGGCAGCGGCGATCCTGATAAAGCCTTGCCCAAGTCCAAGTAACCATTGGCGATCTCCGGCGTTGTGCGCAGCAAACCGCGAACGAGGTTGGATGGGAACCGTTTGTATATATGCTCCTCAGTCTCAGTGCTAGTAGCTACATCGATGAGAGGGATCCGAGCCATCACATCGCACTTCCAATGTTATTTGTTGCAAAAAGATGAGATAAGGGCCGGTGATCAAGAAGGACGATGCTTGAGGAGAACCACTGTGAAAAACCTGAGGAAAGGTATATATGTATAGGAAGGAGGAGGGCAAGAATTTATTGGAGAGACGTCTCATAATATTTTCTGCGGGCGAGTCGATTGGGGTGAGTTGGGCTCGTCTTTTAAGAATTACGTATCTGTATCATGACGTCACACAGGCTTATAGGCTATAGAAATTAACTAAATTAACTATATAAACTATATGATAAGCTGGCTTCAAACTTATAAGAAAGGCCCATTCGATAACTGATCGAGCCAATCGAAACCAGCCACCTTCCACAATCAAGCATCTAGGGGGACTTCGCCCCCTTTGACTAATTGGTTAAGGAAAAATGGTTCTCATGGCGAGATTCAATGCTACTGGACATGCATCTGATTGGTGCGAGGTGACATTCAGGATAGACCACTAGAAGGCTCTTCGGTTTTTGGAATAGCTAAGTTGGAGAAGTAAAATGTGATTTTGCATACGAGTTTTAAAATAACTAAACCAACCAATTTAATCGACTATCGATCGCTTGGCAAAATTCCATCGATGTGGCTTCACTGTGGAAGACCACTACTACCCACCACGGAATATCGATCGCAGAAGAACGCCTTATGACTGTAAAGGCAATCATGGAAATATATTGTCACGTTTGACGCTACGCAGCTGACTGTGCTGCTTCTTGTTGGCGTACAGCTTTGTCTTTATCGCTACAATGTTATGATCAACTAATAAGTCATGCGCAATGATGGACAGACCAGCTTGATCAGAGACCCAGAATGGTTGGTATTTGGACCTAGTATACCCATCCACACGAACGCTGTCATAACTATCCACCTCCATAGGAAATCGATCTCTGTTGGCAGGTATCGCTTCTGCGAAGGAGACTTGTTCTCATTAAAGTGAGAGTACTTGCTGTGAGGTCCTCTCCTTTGCGAGGAGACACGGCCGGAAATGAGAGGAGGATGGCGGTCACTGTTATTAGCCATTGTCAGCCTGTTCGCGCAGGTGGCTCAGGTTGCGAGTGTCCTCGTTCTCATCAATGCATTTGGGAGGCTGTAATGCGGTAAATCCTTCCTGGATGTGATCAGGGTAGTTGAATGTTTTGCAGTATTAGCTGTTGAAGTGATATCAGATATTCGGTCAGTCCCGAGTATAAGGTAGAATACGATATATACTACGTCTCAAAATGACAGTCTTACAAGTAAGAGAATGAAACACAAAAAATATAAGGAAATCGTAAGGATAATTTTATAGATAGTCAGGTAAATAAACTCTGTTAGAGGAGATTTTACCAATACAAACAGGCAACATTGTGTGTCCAAGGATTCTTCTTCAGAAAAAAAGTATTATATATTATTGTGAAGAGCGCAAGTCCTTGGCAAACAAAATGTGCCAGCGCTGAGGCACAAAATCCGAGAGGCTCGTAGCTACCGAAGCCATAAGTTGCTGGGCTACAATGCTGGTGACAGAAACTCCAATAACAAGCCAAGAGAAAAACGCCAATAGCCCACACGTATATGATACTCCTTGTCTCCATCGCTCTGGGGCGAGGATAGAGGCGATGTAATATTACCCACCTGCGGTTGGATAAACGGCTGCCAACTCTACCATTGATGCTGCTATTGCCAAGTAGGCTGTAACGGTGACGATAATTAAGTAGACCAGGGTGGCTGGTCCTCCAGCCAGGATTACTAGCTGAAGGCTTCCGGCAATACCAGCCCAGCTATTACATATAACAAAAGCCAGGCAAAGCAAAGTGATGCCGCTCAGATGTTTCTTCACCTAGCTAGGAGGAGAGTGGCTCATTCTTGATTGCGAGGCTGAATAAGTATTCCCTTGGCGAACTTCAGAAGATTTCTGCATCGGTAGATACTGCAACTTTCGTGGAGTAGCAATGGCGCGTGGTGGTAATTTTATATCGGCGTACGTTTGGCATTGGTTAAGACTTGATCTTAACAATGACTTTTATAGTTCTTGGGGTTCGCGAGAAGCAATGAAGCACAGGCAGAAAGATCAAGTTCAACTTCAACCTCAGTACATTTTTACTATCAGCTCTCGACCAACGAATCAACTACGGAAGCTTCTCCAATCATCATCAGAGCTAGGGGAAATCTCTCGAGAAGATAGGATTGCATGAACACGAATTATGCGGAATGCGGCCGAGCAAAGTGGCCGTAGGTCAGCAGGCCATTTCAGTACTAACTTTTGATCGACTAGCCAGGCCACACTAAACATGAAATCCAATGAAACGCATTGGACGTTGATTTGAGAGACCATGTCCGAATCGAGCAGATTCCTCTTATCTATTGGGCTGAGAAGAAGGCAAGACGAAACCCGCGCTTCCTTTGACAGGGAAGATAGAGTCTAACTGGGATGAAAGTAACAAAAAATAAGATCGCTGATTTTGTCAAACCCCAGCAGGGACGAACTAAAAAAAGCAAACGTATAAAGCAGATTGAGCTCTCAAGTGTTCCAACTTTCTTATCATTCCGCTTTACGGGGCTTCGGACTTCGGGACTCGGATTTCGTTCAGCAATGACGGCTCATTGTCTGTCATGAATGCTTCCTGTGTCGTCCCCATAATGAGGCATCGCATTGAGTTTAGAATGCCGGTTCAACCCGAAATTGAAAACCTATCTTCGCTTTGATATCATTTGACTGGGGTAGCATATTAACTTTACGGTTCGTGACATACGAAAGGAAGCTGGCAAGAGCGAGGGCGAGAGCCATGTTCGGTTTCGATTCCTTGAGACAGTCACAGGGAACCTGCGCGGATAGAATTTTCCCCGTTGGCTATGCACAAAACCCTCAGTACCGTACTTGTGTCCATATAAACTATCCACAGTAGAACGAATCTTCACCGATTTGGTCAATTGTCTGCAGTTAGATATGTCCCTGGCCAAGGACATTTGCATGAATTCCGTGGTGGGTACGTCAGAGGAGCGTGATGACACACTACACAGATTAGGGACTTCTGGTAACTAAAATATGCTCTCGTCGGTGACTGGCCGCTCCATACACTTATCCAGTCTGTGGATATGCTCTTGCTCCATATTCGGGCCTCGGTTCTCACGATCTTCCCTTCTCGGTTGTCGGAGAGAAAGGGGGGAAGGAGGGAAAGTGCCAGCTTATCGTACTCGGAACAACCATCTGGCCGATTACCCTTGGAGCGCCGACAAGGGAAACCATTGAATGAGATGGATTCGTCTGGAACGATTTATCAAGGGAAATCATACGACAGCATGTGACATAGCTATCTGTACCTTTTGATTACCGCAAGTCTGGGGAGAGGCAATGCTGCAATACATAGAATTAGTCACGTCCCACTGAATTCCAAGACCCAGATACAATTATGATAAGCAACAAGGCGATCCTGCAAGTGTTGCTCCACTTGCATCGTCAAAGCTTCACCATTGATATCTGGCATATGACAAGGTCTGTGTTGACATCACAAGACGATTCTACCAACGGGACTAAGATTGATAAAGCTAATTCGCAATGAGATTAGTGGGTTCAACTTTCAGGAGTGAGATCCAGCAACTGAAGTATAAATAGTGCCACATCGACAGTGTTATTGACCCGTTTCAAGCTCATTCCCCCATCCACTCTGAGTGATGGCATGCCTATTACTTCGAAGCATGAAACCGGAGGGGTTTTTACCAGTTTTGATCATGATAGTTTTTTGGTGGAGCGTTGGGTCTTTGAGTCATCCGACCGACGGAACGGGGAGTGATGAGAAGCGAGCCACCAAGCATGGAAGCACGTTCCTGGTCGGGGTCGGAAAGGCCGATATCACTGGGTGAGGGATTTACGCTACCTTACGCTCGGTCATAACTAATGAGCTGCAACAATCAGTGCTGTGGTTCAGATCCCTTTTGCAGGTTACGGGCAGATGAACCAGACAGGAACTGGTCTCCGCCAGAGAACTTACGCTCGGTCATTTGTCTTTGCTGATCCCGCCAATATCACCAACTCTTTCATTTACGTTGTACTCGATACTCAATCGGGTGATACTGCAGTTCGATATGGCATTCTTCAAGGCCTTCAAACCCTTGGAGGGAAATATGGGAATTTTAGAGAACACAATGTCGCAGTGGGTGGCACACACCAACACTCAGGGCCCGGGGGATGGATGAACTATTTGCTTCCTCAGATAGCGACACTTGGGTTTGATAAGCAGACTTACACCGCAATTGTTGATGGAGCTCTTCTTTCAATTCAAAGAGCATATGACAGTCTTGCCCCCAGCACGATCAGCGTCGGTACTATCGATCTTGAGGATGCAAACATCAACCGCAGCCCATATTCTTACCTGGCGAACCCGGCGGCTGAACGCGCTCAGTACAGTTCTGATACGGATACAACAATGACACTCCTAACGTTCGATCGCCTCTCGGATGGTAAAACCACTGGTGTCTTGTCCTTTTTCTCTGTGCATGGCACCTCTCTCTACAACAACAATACACTTGTTACAGGAGACAACAAAGGCGTTGCAGCCTATCTCTTTGAGCGAGGTGCTACCAACGATGCTCGATTCGCCGATAATTTTGTCGCTGGGTTTTCACAATCAAGCGTTGGAGACATGAGTCCCAATGTGCTGGGTCCGTTTTGTGAAGATACGGGATTGCCGTGTGACTTCAAAACCAGCACGTGCAATGGCCGGACCGAGCTTTGTCAAGCGCGTGGCCCTTACTTCAACGAAGGCGATAACGGGGCCAAAAGTGCATTTGAGATAGGCCGTCGCCAATACAACGCTGCCTTTCAGCTATATGGACAAATATCCTCCGGCTCAGGAGTACTACTCGCCGGAGAATCAGCCATGGCGTCGTACCATACGTACCAGAACATGTCGGGCTACGAATTCATTTCTCCGTTCAACGGTCGTCTTCTATCGACTTGCTACGCGGCCCTGGGCAGTTCATTTGGAGGAGGAACCAGTGATGGACCGGGGGCCTTTGATTTTACTCAGAATAATGCGTCTCCCAATCCCTTTTGGCGGCTAGTGCGGGATGGTCTTCACCAACCTGGGCCTGAACAAATCAAGTGTCAATCTCCCAAGCAGATCTTGTTTGATCTTGGAGCAATGAACAATCCATATGCATGGGCTCCTGATATCGTCGATGTTCAAGCCCTTCGCCTGGGCCAGCTTCTTGTCATAGTTTCTCCAAGTGAGATCACTACTATGTCTGGACGTCGATGGAAAGCCACCATTGCGGGCGCGGCTCAAAGTGTTCTATCCATCTCCGATCCTATCGTTGTTCTGGCATCTCCAGCAGACTCATACGCACACTATGTCACCACAGAGGAGGAATATACCGTGCAGCGTTATGAAGGCGCATCAACTCTTTACGGACCCAACCAGCTAGCGGCATATGTGAACCTTAGTCTGGCATACCTGCCGTATCTGGGAGTCCCAAATGCGGTGGCACAATTACCCAAACTTCCCGAAGGCCCCAGGCCTCCAGTTACCACGAATTACTCTCTCGCATTCGTCCCTGGTGTCGCCTTCGACAGCCCCCCCTTGGGTCATTCGTTTGGGGATGTCTTATCTTCTTCGACACCATACTTCTACATGGTAGGAGATTACGTTTCAGCCACCTTTGTTGGGGCTAATCCACGTAATGACCTGCGCTTAGAAAAAACCTATGCAGCAGTGGAGATGAATATTGACGGTATTTGGGAAGTAGTGCGTACTGACGAGGACTGGAACCTGGTCTTTGAATGGAAGCAAACAAACGTACTGCTGGGTACGAGTCAAGTGACCTTGACCTGGCATATTGAGGACTCATATTACCTGTCAGGCTGGGGCAACGCTCTACAGCGTGGGATTTATCGTCTGCATTATTATGGAGAGTCTAAAAATGTGTTTGGAACGATCTCTTCTTTCGAAGGAGTGGGGCCCGAGTTTAGCCTTCAAATCTAACCAGGTCCATCATAGGATCAGATACTATGGTACGGCTCTCCTCTTTCGCTGCTTAGTCGGCTGCCTCGTTACCTGGCACTCCGACATGTGCCGGAATCCATCGGAATTGTATGTGCCACCCTTGGCTTCGAAGTTTTTCGAGTATGGACACCGCATTCGCCTCATTTCAAACCAATTGAGAATCTCTGATCGCTACTCAAAAGGGATACATACGAGCGTCGGACTGATTTGCTTGCTACGCGGAATAACGAGAGATCCAAGATTGTCTTAGCAGAGATAGCATAGGAACCATGATCTCAATTAGAATTAAGGCATCTAATTTATTTATCGGAGAATATGCCGCATCTAGTTGAGGCGATTATCAAAAGCCGGGGCTGGTATACACCAGTAACACAAGACCTACATACATGTTCAGTATAGACTGTTGAAGTCCAGGCTGGTATAGCACCATTGTTAAAGACACCTCTTAGGACTTGTTGTAGTCCGCCAGGATTGCATCTGCAATCTTCAAGGCCATACCGTAGAAGATAGTCATGACATGGGAAGACACCTGGGTGGGCGAAACAGACCCATCGATAACACGAAGGCCCAGGGTGCCATAGACCTTTGCGGTAGGATCAACAACACCGCCAAGCTCTTTAGACATCATGGAACACGTGGAGACAGCATGCCAGTTGGCACGGAAGTTCTGCTTGACATAGCCAACCCAGTCGTCGAGGGTAGCGTTGTAGGACAAGAGGTCAGCACCGGGGATGTCCTCTCCATCAAAATAGTTCGACATCTCGCCGCTATTCTGGAGCTTACGTGCAAGCATTGAGGCAGCGGCCTGACCAAGAAGGTCAAGCTCGTTCAGCAAGAACCGGGGGTTGTTGCTGAATGACTGGAGGTAGGGATCGGCGTAGGTAATGTGGGTGGAGCCGCGGGTGAACGGGATGAGATCCCATAAGTCGAAATTGATCTTGCCATTGGTGTCCATAAAGAGCTCGGCGTAGGCAACGTCCTCATTGAGAAGCCAGTTACGGTAGTTCTCGTACTGAATCTTCAGAGCAGTGGCATTATGGAAACCACCACGGGCAACGGTCTCGTTGGCCCACTGGTCGAGGTTGTTGTTCAGCAACCCAACAGCCATAGGGGTATAGTCGCCGAAGACCTCAGTGAAGTTGGCAAAGTACACAGCCTGACCTTGACCGGCAGCTACGGACTTAGCGCGGGCGCGGACGGTTGTAGTGGTCTGGTCTTGCATATTGAGACCAACGGGGAGCTCAATAAGCTGGGTAATGTTGAACTGGTCAAGGACGGACTTTATACCAATACCAGAGTGTTCGAGGATCAGCGGGGAGACAAGAGAGCCAGCGGCTAAGAGGACCTCATACTTAGCATAGACGTTGAAGTTAACGGCCTTGTTTGTACCGAAGTTAACACCAACGGCCTTTGGACCAGCTGAGGTCTGGTTGAAAAGAACCTTTCCGACGATCTGGCCGGTAAGGACGTGCAAGTTAGGGCGCTGATAATTAGGAAGAAGCCACTCGCGGGCAGCATCGGCACGGGTCTGGTCGGGCAATAAGTTGTTGTAGATCATGGAGACACCGCGTGGGTGACCACAGAGGAAATCCTTCTGCGTAGGAACGCCCATAGCTGCGGTGGTATTCATGAGGGCCTTCATGAGGACAGAATAGGGCCGGCCGTCATTACGGGGCCCGCTGTGGACGGTTCCGTTGAAGCCGTGGCAGGAAGCGTTGAAGTAGTGACCGGCGGCAATCTCAGCTTGAGTAGGGTAGCGGGCGAGCTCGGCCTTCTTCATGTAGTCATTTAGATTGTCCCAGTTCCAACCAGGATTACCAAAGACGGTCTCCCAGGAATCAATCTGGACCTTGTCCGGACGGGTCCAGGAGTCACCGTTGACCAAGGTAGAACCACCGAGGCCCTTACCAGCCTTAATATCTAAGGTGCGGTTGTTGATGTCCTGGGAAACAGTGAGGTAGTTATGGTCAACGGAGCTGCCGAAGATTAGGCCGTAGTCGTTGGGGTTCTCGATGACTGGCCCATCATTTGACTCGTAGAATCCCTTCTCAATAACGAGAACGTTGATGTTAGGGTTCTCAGTCAGCTTGGCCGCAACAGTAAGACCAGTTAGACCACCTCCAGCGATAATATAGTCAACGGTCTTTCCAGCAACCGTCTTAGGGTCGAAGATCAGGTTGGCCTGGACATTAGCCTGCTCGGCGGCAGTGTAGGCCTGGGCCACGGCTACGGAGGCGATGGTGGAGGCGAGGATGACAGACTTCATCTTGAAGGACAATCTCAACAAGTGATCAAATGAGAGCTGGAATGGAAGGAAATAAAAACAGTGGTTACTGTGCTTAAGAAATTCTTCTCGATGACCATCAGCTACCTGCAGTATATATACTCTTCTCAACGACTGATTTACTAGGAATACCTAGGTTTTTGCCTACATAACCATAAAACTTCTTCAAAGTCTATCACATAGCGTTAAGCCAATAAGTCTCTGGGATATTGTCACGCCATTTGATTTGTGATAGAGATATCTTTCCTAGCAGACCAAACACACGTGGGACATTGGCAACGGTGTACGGTATTCCGGGATTCAGGCTGAGCTTGTAGGATGTGGTCGGCGGCTTGATTCGCCACGGATAATGAAGTTGTGGGCTGATCAAGAATGATGATCGTAATTACCAGAGATACTTTCAATGTATGTAGCAACAACATATGTAAACTTGACCTGGTCGACAAAAGTCCCCTGCGCCTTGGCGCCCAGCCCGGAAGCAAAGAAGTTGCTACTTCCCTCACTGGGACTTTCGTTTTGGAAAATAGCGAGTGACAGGGCTCTAAGGTCAATTGATTTCGTGGTGGGAAAACTATATTCAGACCCCTAGCGCCTTTTGCTGAAGAATTAATTGATCCGCTCCTACAATTTGCTAATTTCACCAAACACGGGCTTGAAGTATAAATTCCTAGACAGGCGGGAAGGATTGCTAAACTTCGGGCCGTAGTTGGTCAAAGTGGGTCAAGGGCCCATGTGGATTAATGGCTGGTCCACGCTTACACTACCGCTCGAGTATTTTTGAAGGTTCAGGTCAAAGCGCTTTCTAAACCTTGGCTTCGCCACATGGTCATGTATCAGTCCAAATTATCAATTGGTCAACATATTCGCTCGGTGTGCCTCGGAGATGGTAGAAATCATACGCGGCATGCCGAATTATACGAGCATTAAGCGCAATTCGGCAAACCGAATTTGAGTAAAATAGCTCTATCTGCATAGCTCATCCGGTGCCATCATAATATCACATTTAATATAAGCCCACATCTCAGGTTTGTGTTTGCGCAACCGAAAGACTCCCGAAGTGGTAACTCGCCAAGGATCTGCTACTGCTATTATTCCTTTTCAACCCAACTCCCCCATAGATGTCTATTCAATTGATGCACTCAAGGTACGTCAGCTCAAAGGATTGAGTGGCTGGAGCATTGGTAGTAAGATGATTTAAACTTTGGTGAGATTCTGGTAAACCGCCAACCCGATGCGTGGCGTGACGGAGAACAGTCGGCTTAACGTGAGAACTGAAAGGGATGTGCAAAATGTCTAGTGGCCCATGAACTGCGTTTGACATATTGCCAGATGTGGAAGGTGATAGGGTCCAATCTCCACGAAGTGGATTCACATGGACCAACTCGTATTTCCCAAGTGAAGTCAAGACTTCATTAATTGAGATCTTCATGATGGACGACAAGTCACACCGACGGAAGGCTATTGCTCGTAGAATACGCCATTTATATCCTGGATAAGCAATCAGTGATATGGCTGGATCAGTCCAAATTATCAATCGGTCAACATATTCGCTTGGTGTGCCACGGAGATTGGTAGAGATCATATGCGGCATGCCAAATTATACGAGCGTTGAGCGCAATTGGGCATTGGACACCCACGAGACGAATATCGACATCAAGATAGGCGGGTTGATAATGTCGTTCCTGAAATGCCTGAGCCATGAGAGAGTTTGAGTATATATAGCTTGGACTTTGCTCTTTGCCCTCCTTCCGGCCTTGACTTTTCAGTAAGAACACTGCTCCTCCAAAGTTTACTCTAGTGAGGATTCATCTTGTTAGATATTCCCAAGGCGCAGGTATTTCTATCGAAAGATCCCGGGGGTTTTTTCATCCGGTTTCTCGTGTCAAATAACGGGCTGACATCGTATCTTTCATAGTTTCCAAAATGGTTAACACGAAGCTGACTCTCTTGTTGGTGCTGCTGCACGCAGCTTTTGGGTCCTCCTATCGCTGGTTTAACTGGCAATTTGAGGTTACTTGCGAGTCTGACGCATACATTGCCCCGCACAACGAGACTGCGGTTGCCAACTTCCTTAAGCAGCAGTATCCCAAGGGATCCCACATCAAAGTTGTTGGAAATGGTCATGGATTCGGCAACCTCACTACCTGTGTCGACAACTCTCTCACTCAGAAGCCCTCTTACATCGTGTCTATGACAAATTTGAAGGGGCTCAATATCGATAAGAAGAATATGACTGTCACCTTTGGTGCTGGTTGGGATGTTTATGACCTCACCGAAGAGCTTAAGGCCAATAATCTGTCTTTCGGTAACCTCGGTGTTGAGCGTGTTCAGAACTTTGTTGGTGCCGCCTCCACCGGTACCCACGGCTCTGGGTCCGTCATCGGTAATATTGCCAGTCAGATTATTGGACTGCGTGTGTTGGACGCGCAGGGGAACCTCCGTGTTATTAACGAGACGAATAACCCCGAGGAACTGAAGGCATTCCGTATCAGCCTTGGTGCCCTTGGTCTCATCACGGAGATGACTATTAAGGTCCAGCCGACGCTCCTCCTGAAGAAGACCACTAAGGTCGTGAATGCCACCTCTGACTACACGCTGATGGGCAAGCAACTTGCCCAGCTGTACAAGGCTCACGACCGTGTAACTGTTTGGGGTCCTCACTTTGACTGGAATGAGGCCTCTCAGAACTGGGACCTTGAGCCAACTTACTTCTACTCCTACTGGGAGCCAACAAACTACACTGGAGTTCGCAACTGCACTCTCAACTATTGTGCTAACGGTTGTGGCGACTGCAAGAAGGAGTACATCTGCTACGACGAAGTCATCGACGCCGCGTCGTGCCCTCCCCAAGGCGTCTGTGACCGAGAGTTCTATGCTGAGATCGAGCACTTCCTTCCCATCGAGTATTACGCCGAAGCTGCCGCCGACTATATTAGTTATCAGCAGTCCCAAACTCCCCGTATGAAGGCTCCCTATAACAACATGATGGTAATCCAGCACCGTTCTCTCAAGGGTGATGATGCATACATGTCTCCGGTCAATACCTACAACCTTGGCTCGGATCTCAGCGGGGTTTTTGCTATCATCGAAATTGACTGGATCCAAACCTATAACAACTTTACAACTCTTTGGCAGAACCAGCAGTTGGGATACGAATTCATGGCTGAATTTGGTGAAAAATATAACGTTCGGCCCCACTGGAACAAAATGAACCCTCCTAACGCAACTTACGCTCTGGAGAAATTCCCGAAGCTGCCTGAGTTCTTAGCAATCCAACAGCGCCAGGATCCTAAGTGTCAGTTTGTCAACGAATTCTTGGTTGAGCAGCTTGGCATTACCCGCTGCGCGAACTACCTATCCATTTAGAATGAGATGTATAGTGTATCGATTCACATGTGGCGATGCTTGCTACCTGGGTTGATGCCTGATTCCGCAGGCATCCTTTATGTGTTTAGATCGCCTATAGTTCTCACTCCCCCTTCTTTCCTTCTCTATGCTTAGTTGTTTCGTCAAATGCTACTTTGTTGGTTGATGTCTGTCTCTTTGTACCTGAGCATAACATATAAAGGGGCTCGAATCACTTGCTCTTTTATTTTATGTTTTTTATTGTTATTCTCGTGATTGAAGAGGTGGCTTATCTGTCAAAAGGCAAGTAACCATAGGATGTGGAATGCTAAGACATCTCAACACTTTCGATCCAAAGAGTAATTGTACAAAACGGCCAGTCTTGAAATTTTGGTCAAACAATAGTATATTCTCAAATAGAGCTCCATATATTTCACAATAGAGTCAACTACATATCCTGCAACAGTGTTGTCTTGATAGAGCTCGAAATATAAAGTGGAATCCCATTTCAAATAAATTTCGGCCCACACAACATAAGACTAAAATAATAATCATAAAGTACCACTGGACAAGCTATCTCAGTCAGACATCATTAATAAATTTGTGGAGACATAGAGCAGTTACTTAACTACCAGGCAGGAATTACACTGAGTAACTCACTATCCTCTAATATCCCTAGCTAACAAGAATAGCCTGTATCAGCTACAAATTACCAAAAATTTACCATCCAATAAAAGCAACGGAGTCAAATGAGGAATGTAAAGGTAGCATAAAAAGAGTGTTAATTTTAGTAAACTAAACTATCCAACTGCATAAGGGTTGAAATACGGTAATACCCATGAAAATACCAGTGGACGGAATAGCATACATTTCTATGTCGTAATATGGGATATGAAGAATATTCTATGTAGGCCGTCACGTATACTGTACACCTTCGGTCGAAACCTCTTTCCTCCCCGTAGTGACAAGCTTATTTCGAGACCCTGAACAGTCCATGCCCTTGTAATACATATGTATGAAGCCGAAGAATCTTGGCGCTGCAGTGGTGCCGCAATCCAAGAAACAAACTGACCAAGATACTATAATACTGTCCGTCGGTATACCAGCACTCGTACATCATGACATCATACACTAGTCATCCCATCATAAAATTTGTTTTGACTTACAGTCACATTTAGAGTCCATGGGAAAAGAGCTAGGTGAATGAAAACCGTCATTTATCAATTTATTAGGTTGATCGGGATGTTCTACAATATATTTCAGGCAGAATAAAGCCTTCAGCACAATCCAAGCATTTGCTTGTTACTCCCCCTGCATGTTCCGTCCGATGTTGGAACTCCCCTTCCTGCAGTCGTCGGTGCTTTCAACTGCCACGGTGTAATAATATTGGCTTATACAATTTCCCAGAATGTATATACTTTCCCATATCTTGGATCTAGTTTCATGCGCTTACGTATAGTATCGCCTCGGACAAGTCCAGGAATTGATATGAAGCTCACCAAGGGAAAAAGACGACTCCCCTCATGGCTCGATCATTTCAACGCTCACGATCTGAAGGTGTTGTTTCGCTGTTGGGCCGCCGCATGGGTGGCTGCACTGTTTATGTTCATCGGCCCTACGCTACACACGATTGGAACAGAGACGTTCTTTGCCTGCATCGTACTCTTTATTCTGCCTCCCTCGGGAATTCTGCTTATTTTCCTTCTTGGGGAATTTACTCTTCTTATTGGCATGAATCTTGCCTGGGCATGGGGAGTCATTGTCATGAAGGCAGCCCTAGCGGCCCGTTCAGCATCAGAGACGCAGGCTCGATTGATCGCACTGCAACAGCAGGCGTCTACTCAGGCTAATGCCTCTGGCCAGAGTATTGCTAGCGAAACGCACATCCTCGTATTGAATGGGTTCATGCTAGATGCTCCAGTGACTGCTGTCTTTTTTGTCCTAATTTGTCTATTTATCTATTTCATGGTAGGCAAGATATGGTCCTGGATTCGTCCTATCCCTTCTTCGCCGGTTTTGACAGTCAACTGAATGTGTAGCTCAACAGGCACGACTGCGAACAAGCAATCCGAAATTTGCTCTGCTGCAGATCTACGCAATCATTATCTCAGATATTTTTCTCACCCTTGGCCCATCTCAACCGTCTTTCTACGGAACCCTCCCTGTCTCGCTAATTAAAGCAGCAGCAGTTGGTGTTGGCCTTGGTTTTGTTGCATCCATACTGTTCTTCCCCCAATCCACCTCTCACACCTTCTTTACTGCCATGGAAGGGCTACTTAAACTTGCAAAGCAGCCATTGGAATTTACTATATCCAGCTTAGAGAATGATTCGGAAAAGCTGGAGGTCCAGGCTCTTCAAAAAGTGAAAGCAGAGATTGTCGCAGCGTACAAAGCCATGGAACTGGCGATTGCGTTCCTGCCTCTAGACTGTTCAATCGGTCGCTGGAGCGCTGATGATATCAAAAGTTTGAGAGATCCAATACGCCAAACCATGATGTCGAGTTTATCACTGCTTGAATATCATACTGCACGGCTCGTCGGACAAAAGAGGCTACAAGGCCTCCTAGCAACTTCTGACGCAGAAGACACACTGGATTATCCAAACGAGCAGCGACCGCGCGAGGTCGGTCGCTATCAGTTGATGCAAAGTGCACAATTCCTTCAAGCGCTACGGAGCCCCGAGAGTGAAGCCATTCGCTCGGAGACCGTTGAGGTGTTGCGGCGATCCACAAAAGATATTCTCCCTGCCTGCCTGGATGCGATCACGGCCATCTCCGAGTGCATACATACGCAAAGCTCCGGGGTATGGTTTACTCGGCCCTCAAATGACAAACACGACCGACTTCTTCATCGGTGTAGGACATCGCTTGGGGCCCTTAAATCGACTCGCTCCACCTTCACAACAGAGACTACGGAGCGATTGCTCCAGTTCCACGCAGACCTGTTTGAGGAGACCAGTCATCTGCAGACATTTGGCAACCTTGCCATCCATCCCTTTCGAGGCGTCATGTTTGGGATGGTATTCGAGACACAGATACTGTTCGTGACTGATGCTTTGGAGAAGCTTTTGGAACGAATCATCCAGCTATGCCAGGGACGGACGAAAGATAAGTTTTGGTTTCCCGTCGGAATCAGGTATGCGGCTGCGTGGGCTTTCAACGGAAATGTTGTAGCTCCAATTCCAGGCCAATCGAATGTCATAGATCCCAACATTGTGGATAAGCAAGCTAAAGAAGGCCAGAGACGCCTCCGAATCAGTCGTGGATATGGAGTCAAACGTCGGACTGGACTGGCTAGATGGATCATTGCCACACATGAGTGGTTATTCAACTCCGATGGTTTATATGCTTTGAGAATGGTCGTTCTTACAGTTGCTCTGGCGATCCCTGCAGTCATACCGTCTAGCGCAGGTTTCTATTATCGCGAGAAGGGTATCTGGGGACTTATAATGGGTCAAACAACTCTGCTGGTCTACATGGCAGACTTTACCTTCTCCATGATCAGTCGAACCATTGGGACGGTGGTTGGCGGAGTGCTCGGGCTGCTGGTCTGGTATGTTGGTTCTGCTAATGGACCAGGAAATCCATATGGACTGGCTGCCATTTCGGCTGCTGTTCTAGCTGTTCTCATGTGGGGACGTTTGTTCTTCAACCCTAGTCTTTTGCAAGCCACTATAATGAGCGCAGCAACATGCATTCTCATTGTCGGATACAGCTTTGATGACACGTAAGCAGTGGTGATTCTTCTTTTTAACTTCCAACTAGGAACTGATATCACATTACCAGGCATGTTGCGCAATATGGCAACCCGGGATTTGGCTACAACGTCTTCTGGCACCGCCTTGCTCTCGTATTGATCGGCTTCGCAGCTGCTCTCATCGTTCAACTATTGCCTTTCCCACCATCTGCATCACGCCACATAACCAAGACCCTATCGAATACTATTCAGACACTTTCAGATCACTACGCGCTTGTGCTCTCCTGCTGGAATCAGTCGGATAGCAATGTTGGCTTAGTTGCAGGGAAAGTCTCCATCGAAGTTGATGAACTGCTCGCCTCGCTTGAGGGCTCCATTGCCCTCCTACGCCTCGAATTCTCCGGCTCACCATTCGACAGTCAGAGCCTGGCCCAAATAAAATCAATATGTCAAGAGATGAATTGGGCGCTCGGGCGATTGCTTTTCCTCTCCGTTTCGTTACCGGTCGAGCTTCAAGACCGGCTCGCACACCTTGCCGGCATTCTTGACCATCGTAACATCGGAGATATCATGGCTGTACTGAGCATGGTTGAGCAAGTGCTCAAAACCGGCAATGCTCTGCCAGAGGTGCTTCCAACTCCGTTGTTGAACCGGTGCCATGAATATTGGCAGAATAGTAGTCTGGAGATAATACAGTACAGAGATCTGATTCGGGACAAAAATTATCGGAAGTTTTGTGTGGCAGTGAGTTCTTATTTGAAGTTTCTTTCCGCAATTGATGAGCTTGTGCTTGTTGTTAAGGGCCGTTTGGGAGAGTCTCATATTATAAGCAAGGAGTTGCCAGAGGGCGTTTGACGTCCGACCTGATCGTGGATAATGGGTGAAGTGGTGTACTTTACATATTGGAAGTGTTCACTTTGGGCTGCGATTGATTTACCACTAAGACGAAATTCAAATGGTATTAGTTTCCATACGGCGGAGGTGTTAAAATGGGGGAAAGCCGAGTCTGAGTTCCGCTGGTCTAAACCGACAATCATTCAACCCCCTTCAGCTGCTCTTCTCATAAAGTATTTAAATCTTATAAGCAAATAAAACCCTATACCCTAGTCCACTAGTGGTTGGGATATTGTCGTACATATCACGATAGGCGGGCGCTGATAAGCTGTCATATTTAGGGTTTACGTAGGTATTAGTGAAATAATCAATATAGGTATTAATAACTATCTAGTCCACTAAAAGTTAGGATATTATTATATATATTATGATAGGCGGGCGCTGATAAACTGTTATATTTAAAGTTTATATAGATATTAGCGAAATAATTAATATATTAATAATTATCTAAAATCTAATTTAATTTAAAATTTATTAAATTATTTATAACTATCGTTATTATTACTATATAATTTTGAAGAATTTAATTTATTATTTTAATATAGTGTAGTGGGGTGACACCCCCTACCTGTCACATGACCCTAGGTTCAATGTATATTAGGTAGCTGTTCGCCATAGCTTAGAGAAATTAGACGAGTTCTCCATTCTTCACTAGACCGTACCAGCTGGTGGTGTAGGAATGTACGTACGATTACGAGACTAGCGAATACCGGAATGAGATAGGATAGCGGTGTGACCAGCACACCCGCTTTACAATAGTAATATGGATTTTAGATTAATTCTAGTATTGTATTTAAAATTTATTAAAGTAAGCCTTAATTAACAATGGATTTTTGTTAATTATTTC